AGTTACCATATGAAAGGTTGGCAGTTCAAACCCACCATCCACTCTGAGGGAGAACAATATGGCAGTTTTACTTCTGCAAAGCCTTAAAGTCGTTATGGAAATGTATATAAAAGGTGGAAACACTTTGTGGTAGCTCTCTGTCCTGTAGGGTCTCTCGGATTTGCAATTGACGCCAAGGTAGCCACCTCACCTGCCAGATGAATTGAGCCTCAGGATCCACAGGGAACAAGGTCTGCGTCTGGTCCACTGTGATGGCATCTTCCTGCCACATCCTGGTATTTCACTGGTTGTTTAACAGACCACCATTACTACCCCAGGAGCACCATCCTCCGAAATGTCATTTGCAGAAGCTCTATTAGCCTTTTCACTCTTGTTAAAGGGACCGGCAACAGGGAAGTCATCCAGGAGCGGTAACCATTCACTTACTATTTAAGGGGAAGATGAAGAATGCTTCTTAAGAGGCAAGGGTAAGGGAGCTCTGGTGGCCTTGTGGCAAGAAGCTGTACTGCAATTCCAGAGGTGCATGGTTCAAATCCACCAGATGCTGTGCTGGAGAAGGAGGGACTATCTCCTCCTGTACCAGTCAGATCCGATTTGACGGTACACACACACACACACACACACACACACACACACACACACACACACACACATGCTGGAGGATGGTGAACCAACCTCTCTCATACTCTGGGGGCCTCTCGACAGGAAGGGGCGGTCCTTGGAAGCAGACATCATGCTGAGAAAGGCAGAGCGAGGGTCAATAAAGGAGAGGAAGACCCTCAGGGATCCAGCACAGTGACTACCACAATGGGCTTGAGTGTGACTGTGACCCAAGATAGTAGCGCCAGGTTTGGTTCTCTTGTTCACTATGAGTCAGAGTTGACCTGACAGCGCCCGACAACAACAATCTCAGCGTGGTGTCTGGGGCAGTATAACTGAAAGCGCGTCAGTGTCAGAGAGGCACCTTGAAGACCAGCCTGACGATGTAAAAAATCAGCTACTGGAAACGCGAGAGAGCATGGCAGTACGCTGACCCGTCCGGGCTACAATGACTCAGAATCAGCTTAGTGGCAACTGGTTGAGGGACTCTATTTTGTTTTACTATCAACACATGTCTTCGAGGGAAGGGACAGGGGTTCTGAAGGGAATGGAGAACCCAAAACGTGAAGAAGCAGAGGGCAGTGGATGAGGAGGAGAGGGCGAGAGGAGGGAGAGGAGGAACACTTCACTTAGGATTTCAGGATCTGGGCTGGCCCAAGGAGTGAGTGGTGCTCCAAGAGGACAGGTCACCGCTTCTGTCCCACCTTGCCTCCACTCCCTGTCCCTGACAGGGCCACTGTGGCTCAGGCCAAAGTCAGCACCGGTCTGGGTCCTTCTGGGGTTTTTCCAGAATTCACTGTCAAGTCAGTTTCAAGTAATAGACGTCCTCAGAAACCCGGGGGGTTCCAACCAATGGAGATGGGAGGCCCTCTGGGTGAGCATGCTACTTGTTACTGATCACAACACCAGAGTTCCTAGAACTCTGCTATTTGGGCAGAACTTTTGGCCCAAGAAACCAGGAGTCATTTATCTTTAGAGAGAGACCCTGCCCGGACCCCTGGACACAAGCCACCTGTTGTTTCAAATTTCACACCAAGTCTGTGAATTCCATGTCCACACTGTGGCCAGCCTGACTTTTTTCTGAATATTGTATTACTTTGCTTCTTGGCAGTACAGTTCCACGGCCCCAATCTCCCCCCCCCCAGGCCCCCAATCCAGGCATCACCTGAGGCCCTTCCAGAGACTCATGGATTATTGACCCTCTGGGGGACTGCTGGTCTCCCCCAGCCTTTTTATGGCACTGAAGCTCTGAAATTAAACGTGGCACGTGTGCTACCATGGAATAACTTTTAATTGCTTAATTAAATCAGAGATTTAAAGAAGGAAAGATTCAAAAGAGTTTGCTTTGAATGGGAAAAACAAGGATGTGCCAAGATGGATGAAGTTATTAATCACTGTTAAGAAAGGCCTCTGGTATTTACATATGATAAAAATGCAGGCTGGGACATTAAAAACAAGTATACTCTTTACATTTTTTAATTCAGTATTTTTTTGAGCTTGTGCTACAAAGACGTGTTGTGGTGTTACTGTTTACCATCAAGTTGGAAACCACCACAGCTGACCCTCCAGTGGGTTTTCAGAGGCTGCAAATCACACAGAAGGAGACTATTCAATTTCCCTCTGCTGAGCGGCTGGCGGACTCGAACCACCTACTTTTGTGTCGGTGATACAAGTCCTTATCACTAAGCCACCAGAGTGCTGTAGAGAGGCTATAGAAAGTATCACTATCCAACTGAGTTCTGATTTAAAATGCAAAACAAACAAAAAAATCTGCTGTTACACAGGACAAAGAAATTGCCATGAAATTGAGTTACTATAAATGTGTACCAGCTTAAGTAAATAAGCCCGTAAAATGGGCCCAGGGAAAAGTGTGCTCTATATAGACCAACATGTATACAGGTGACAATTAGCAAGCTATGGTCATTTTGCTAAATGTGTGAGTCTAAAAGCAACCAAGTAAAAATGACCTAAAAAGGGAAACTTAAATCCATTTGTACATGCACTTAAACAGTGAAGTATTTCATTCTTCATGTTTTCACTTGGTGTCTTGAAATAATCCCCTTTCTGTCTCCACACTCCCTGGTAGACACTGTGCCCGCCTTATTTATTTATGAAGTCTGAAGGTTAGTCCTACCTGCTGAGACTAATTAGCCCTGTGCTTTGTATCCTATGCAATCCTGTCTGATTACGTAAATGTACACATTTGTTTTACTTCTTTGCAGACTCCTTCACATTTTCTGATTCATATTAAAGTTGGGAGTTACAGTGATTCTCCTCAGCTCCCCCACCCCATCTTTACCTTGCCTGCATCTTATTCTTTCGTGTGCAAATGCGGCTGTGATTTGTTTCCAGTGCCCGGGAATTCGCTGGCCTTGTCAATCTCCCGATCATTATTTTTAGCTGTCTTCTTTCTGAGACCTTAGCCTATAAAACAGTTTTGCCGAAATCTACACTCTCGAAATATTACCTGGCAAGTCTGCTTGCTTTTGGAAATCTTAGGGGCTGGTGGGCCAGCTGAAGGGTTTGTAAGCTGTTTGCGGGAAGGGTGGGATATTTCAGGGGGTAGTCTTTTGACCAGTGCTGATGCTAACAGGCTATTTGGTAACTCCTAGTAATTATTTTCTAGTTGTTCTTGTTCTCTTTTCATGTTGTCCTTCCAGTCCATGGTGCACTGGGGATTTGCAAGAAAATGACTCCTTGCTCTGCATCCTGGAACCCCTTTTTGGGAGCCAGACCTTCTGTCCTTTAACATTAACTGTGTTCCTCATTTGGTGGCCTATCAGTGGGCTCTCGGGGTGAATGCCTGCCTACAAGGCAATACCTGCTTGAAAGCCCAGGTTTCCCATCTCCTCCTAGAGGTCTTCCTAAAGACAGCTACCTCTTCATCCCAGACCCCATTGATCCCAGGGCTGGGCAAACTTTCAGTTTTCTTTTCAACCAGCGGTGTTAACGCCCAAACTTTTCACCTCCAAAGTCAAGCCGGACTTTGAATGCCAGCTCACTTCCTATCGCCTCCAACACCTGTTAAAAAAACCTAACCAAAACAACCCCAAATGCACACAAACCCCAACACTCTGTGTTTAAAACAATCTTATACACCTCCCTCCCTTAAGGATTTTTTTTTTTTAATGGCAAAAACGACCAAATTTGATTGGTGGGTTGTTTTTTTTGGGGGGGGGGAGGAGAAAAAAGTCTGCTTGGCCTATTTATTCTAGTGGGGCTTAACCTTTAATCAAATGATTCACCCTTCGTAAACAAAAAAGGGAAAAACCTCATGGGTTAATAGTTTCTTTCACTGTGGCTGACCGGGGACTTTGGCCAGCCCCTCCACTTCCCCAAGCTCTCAGAAAAGGCTGGGTTCATTTTTTCTTTTGGACCACTTCGGTTTCCTCCCTCCCCAGGGTGGCTGGTCTCAACCCCCCCCCCCCACTCCCTCACCCCCGCGGGACTAACCACTACGCATCCCCTCCCTCCCTCTGTATGCTCTCCCCAACCCCCTTCCCTGAGACTTATGGCTAATATTTCCAAAAGTGCACTTTTTTCTGGGCCTCTCCCCATCCCCGCCCCCCAAGTGGGCTTTCCTTCCGCCCAGCTCGGCTCGGATTCCTGACTCGGTCGCCACCCCTTCCCTCCTCTCCCACCCCGCATTGTCTTTGGGAAACCGCCCCCTCCACGAGCTGGGCCCTCTCCCCGGGCCCGGGCCGCAGACCACGCCCCCTCCCGGCCCCGCCCCCTCCGGCGCCCGAAAGGATCATTGTTAGCCGCCCCCGCCCCGCCCACCGCGGCTGTTTATTTATGCACACGTCACCGGGCAGGCCCCGCCCCCCGGCATCTCATTAAGGCGAGTGTGTTCCTCTCGCGCTGTCAATAATCTCCGCTCCCAGACTACTCCGTTCCTCCGGATTTCGATCCCCCTTTTTCTATCTGTCAATCAGCGCCGCCTTTGAACTGAAAAGCTCTCAGTCTAACTTCAACTCACTCAAATCCGAGCGGCACGAGCTCCTCCAGTATCTTCGGCTTCCCCCCCCTTTTGCTCTTTATATCTGACTTCTTGTTGTTGTTGGTGTGTGTGTGTGTGTTTTACCCCCTTTTTTATTTATTATTTTTTTGCACATTGATCGGATCCTTGGGAACGAGAGAAAAAAGAAGCCCAAACTCACGCGTGCAGAAGATCTCCCCCCCTTCCCCTCCCCTCCTCCCTCTTTTCCCCTCCCCAGGAGAAAAAGACCCCAAAGCAGAGGGGGAAAGAAAAAAAAGTTCACCTTGGACTCGTCTTTTTCCTGCATTATATTTTTTTTAGGGGGGCAAAACTTTTTTTGGGGGTGATTTTTTTTTTTTTTTTTGCTTTTCTTCCTCCTCCATTTTTCCTCCAAAATTGCTGCTGGTGGGTGAAAAAAAAAATGCCGCAGCTGAACGGCGGTGGAGGAGATGACCTGGGCGCCAACGACGAGCTGATTTCCTTCAAAGACGAGGGCGAGCAGGAGGAGAAGAGCTCCGAACACTCCTCGGCAGAGAGGGATTTAGCCGATGTCAAGTCGTCTCTCGTCAATGAATCAGAAACGAATCAAAACAGCTCGTCCGATTCCGAGGTAGGAGAAGTCCCTCGGGCTGCTGGGGTTCGCTCGCCTCCCCGGGGCCGGCCTCTCCGAGGGCGCCGGCGGGGAGAAGCCGGGGCCGGGCCGGGGGCGGCGGGGCGCGCGCGGGGCCTCCATCGCACCAACTTTAACCCTCTTTTTCTCTCCCCGCACCCCCCCACGCCGGGGTGCCGTTTCTTCCCCTGCGCCCCCCTCTCACCGTGGCGTCTGCCCCTCGCTTCCCCACCTCCACCCCTCCGGGAAGGCGGAAAGACGGCCTCCGCCGCGCTCCGAAAGTTTCCGAGACAAATCCCGGGAAAGTTTGGAAGAAGGTGAGTACGCCGCGCGCGCCCCGCCGCTGCCCGGGGTGGGTGCCTGTGGCCCGGCCGCCCCGCGCGCCCCGGCCTCGCGCGCCCCGGCCCGGCTCCGTGCGCCCCGGGCCGTGCACCGAGGCGGCCGTGCACCGGGGCGTCGGGCCCGTGGGCCTCCGGCTAAAAACTTTCTCCTTGCTCTCTCTCCCCCGCTCCGCGCCGCCGTCCCCTCGCCGCCCCGCCATGTTAGCGGCCAAGAGGCAAGATGGAGGGCTCTTTAAGGGGCCACCGTATCCCGGCTACCCCTTCATCATGATCCCCGACCTGACGAGCCCCTACCTTCCCAACGGATCGCTCTCGCCCACCGCCCG